ACACACACACACACACACACACACGCACGCACGCACTCGCTCAGTCCACCTCATCCAAGTACACGGGGATGCCGGTCCCGCGAGCCACCAGCGAAACTAGATCGCGCACGGCCACGCGCGTCTGCTCGCCGGTGTCTCGGTTCCGCAGGGTGACCGTGGCCCCGGGCTGCAGGGCGCCCCAGTCGGGCTCAGGCAGGCCCGGGCTCGGGGCCCCGGGGCCCGGGATCGGGACACCCTCCTCGGTGCCGAGGTCGCCCGGACGCGCGCCGGGCCACTCGCGGCCGCCATCCGACTCGACGGTCTCCCGGTCAATGGTGATGCACCAGGGCGTGCCGATGGCATCCTGTCGCACATACCGCCGGCCGATGGACCGGGCCACGTCCACCTGGACCAGGAGCCCGGCACGGCGCAGGTGCGCGGCGATGGCACGCGCCCGGCGAACCAACTCCGGCCGCCGGACCACCGGCAGCACGGCCGCCTTGATCGGGGCCACGGATGGATGCAGGCGGAGGACCACCCGGGGGTCCGGCCGACGAGCCTTGCCGCCAGAGCCCTCGGCCCCGGTGCCGGGGTCCACCACCTCGGTGTATGCATCACACAGGACCGCCAAAACCGCGCGCGACAGCCCGGCCGAGGGCTCGATCACCCGCGGTACGAAGGGCTGGAAGTCCGGCCCGGCATGGGACACCACATGCGGCGTGACCGCAAGGTCCTGGCCACTGGCTGCCTGGTGACTGTCCAGATCGAAGGTCCCCCGATCGGCCACCCCTTCCAGCTCGTCCCAGCCCCAGGGGAAGCGATACTCGATGTCGGCACATGCCTGGGCGTAATGTGCCAGCCCGGCGGCCTCCGCGCCGCCAGCCTCCCGCAGGGCCTCATTCACGCGGATGTCCTCCGGCCGGTTGGCCAGCAGGCGTCGCCACCAAGCAGTGCGCTCATCGCGCCAGTACCGGTACCAAGCCGGCCCATCGGCCGGGTGGCAGAACCACTCCATCTCCAGCTGCTCGAATTCGGCCGTCCGGAAGATGGACTGCTCGGTGCGGATCTCATTCCGGAAGGCCTTGCCCACCTGTGCAATGCCAAAGGGCAGCTTGACACCGGCGCCCTGGCTGGCACAGACATTCGGGAATTGCTGGAAGATCCCCTGCGCCGTTTCCGGTCGCAGGTACACCGTCGACTGATCCAGCGTCCGGAGAATGTCCCCGGCGGTGGACGACCCGGCCGGAGGCGAGGCCCCACGGTCCAGGGCCCCGAGCAGGGTCTGCACCTCGCCCAGTGGGTCCACCGCGCCGAGTGACGTGCGGAACATCAGGTTGAAGGGCCGCGGCGCGCCCCGCAGGAAGGGGCTGTTGGTGCCGGGCTCGGCCACCCCGAAGTAGGGGACCTTGATGGCGCTCTCGGCCTCGGTGGCGGCCTCCAGCACCAAGTGACCATCGGCCACGGTCACCGGGTAAAGGGTGATGGTTCCGCCGCGGACATCCACCCGCGCTCCGGGCGCCAGCTGCTGGCGGATCTGCTCGGCCCAGGCGGCGGCAAGCCGGGAATCCGGGGCCCGGCCGCCCGGGGCATCGCCATCCCCGGCCCCCGGGCGGATCTCGATCACATCGCGCGCGGTGCGCTCGCAGCGAGTCACCGCCACCGGCGCGGACTTGTCACTGCGGAAGCGGGCCCCACTCAGGGCCGCTTCACACATCGGGTCCGTGAAGTTGTCCAAATGGCCGGATGCCCGGAGGGTGCTTCGGTGCGTGAGGATGGCGCTGTCCAGCGGCTGGACATCCGGCCGGCTGACCACCAGGTCCCGCCACCAGCGATCCCGGATGTTGTTCTTCAGCAGCGTGCCCAGGGGCCCGAAGTCGTACACGCCGGCCAGACCATTGTACAGGGGCGCCGAGGGGAAGAGGAACCCGCGCGACTTCAGGTGCGACAGCAACCGCGGGAAGGCGGCGGGGGAGGTCATCGTGCGGTAGGAAAGGGCGAGGGGACAAACGGGCGAGGGAGGGGGAGGGGGCGCCTATGAGCCGTTCGAGGCGGTCTGCTACTGGTGGTGGTGCTGCTGTTGCTCCCGTGCTGTAGGACGCAGGGGATAAGGGAGGGCGAGGGGAGGAGCAAAGGGGAGGGGGGAGAAGGGGCAGGGAGGGGGGGAGGTTGGGGGGGGAGGGGGGGGAGTGCCGCCCACGTTTCGTCATCCAAGGGGTCCTCGGGTGGCTGATGAGCCAGATCGCGTCCCGCCGCCGGTCGCTCGCGGCGGCCAGGTGTGGGGCATGCGCGCAAAAAAGTAAGCCGGTGCGTCGGCAGAGCGCGATGCCCCAAAGGGAAATCATGCCAACGGATGTGCATTCACGTGCGCATCCTCAAGTGCCTTTAGGTCCGGCCGTTCAGCGGAGGGGGGCGGGGCAGCCGCGGCTGGCAGAGCCAGCAGTCGAGGACGGGGAGAAGGGGGGGGGGCGGGGCGTGTATGCTAGTCGACGTTGCCCCCCCCCCCCCCCACCTCCGGGGCCCTTGGAGGGACGTTGTCCTGCGCAAAAAACGGCCCGTCTTCCCGGGCGTACGCTGGCTGTTCTTGTGGCCTCCACACGCCCGCTCCAAGGGCGAGGGGCCGGGCATGCATGCAGGGACGGACGTGCGGGGCGAACAGGCGGCGCGAGTCTCTGCCCCCGCGTCAGGGCACCACCCGCCGAGGGAATCAGCACGAGAGGCACCCCATCGCGGAGGATGGGCCCACCAACTCCTGACACCACCCTCCTTCTCCCCTCCCCCCCCCCTCTTGTCCCTCTTTCCGCTGCGCGTTTGCTTTCGCCCCTGATCGCTCGCTGCCCCCTTCTTTCCTGTGTAGCCATGGCCCGCTCCCCCATCTATTCGCTTCTGCTCGTCATCTTCGCGCTCGGTATGCCCCATCCCTGCCCTTTCTTCACCGGCCGCCGCTCGCGCAAGATCGCTCGCTGCCCCCCTTGTACCCTGACATGTTCCGCTTGCATGACCCAATAGTCGCCATGGCCGCCTCGGCTCGGAGCGACGAGGCCCAGGCCTCCGTCACCATCGACGATTCGGAGACCATCGTCCTCGGCAACAAGGAAATCCCCACCGACCCGGAAGAGATGAAGGCCCTGATTGATAACCTGGCCAAGGCCGCGGCCTCCGACAGCCCCCTGCCCGCCCCTCCTGCCCTGAACATCAAGCATATCCTCCCGGATGCCCCCTTCAATGGTTCGCACTGGATCCCCTCCCGGCCCCCTCCCCTCCCTCCCTTTGAAGGGGGGCCTGATATCCGGCAGTGTGTCTTTCCCCCGTGCCTCTGACATGCGTCGCCTCGCCTCCCGCCACTCCAGCCTTCGCCTCCAATGACTTCGCCAACGTCCTCATCGGCCTGGAGAACGCCGGGTCCAAGGCCTACCAGATCCACTCGATCGGGGCCAACCTCCACAGCCCCAAGTCCTATGCCACTGTCAGCAAGGAGGTGCGTGCTCGCCTGGAGGGCCGCGGGGGCTCCCCGTCTGCCCTTCCCTTTCCCCGCCCACGCGCCCTTCTCTCGGCTTGGCGTGTCATCGCGCGTCTCTCCCGGGCACACACCGCTGACCTTCTGGCACGCCGCAGCTCGACACCTACAAGTATGACATGAGCATCGCCCCTGGCGAGCAGGCCACCGTCCACTACCGCTGGTTCCTGCCGTCGGTCTTCCAGCCGATTGATCACATTCTGACCGTGGAGGTTTCTTTCTCGGACGAGGTACGCGTGCCTCTCTTCTCCCATGGTGCCACCCCTTTGGAGAGTGGCGCTTTGCTGACATGGGCCTCCTCTCCTCCTTTCTCTCCTCCCCCGGCCTGGCACCGCTGGCGTGCACACATAGGCCGGCCAGCTCTACACCCTGCCTGCCTTCAACCAGACTGTTTCCTTCGTCGAGCCGACCAGCCACTCGGCCTTCGATCTGCAGTCTCTGTCGATCTACGCCCTCATTCTGGCGGCCATCGGCGGTGTTGCTTACTACTTCACCAAGGACAACCTCAAGAAGGTGCGCACACACACGTACACGTACACGTACACGTACACGTACACGATCTCCTCGCCCCCCCCCCCCCCTTCCTCTAACATGGGCTTCTGCCTTGCACCCCCAGGCTCCCAAGGAGACCTCCCCCGTTGTCACTGCTCCAGTCGCCCCGAAGGTGGATGCCGACTGGGTCCCGGCCGCCGCTCGCAGCCACGCCAACAAGACGGCCGCCGGCAAGGCCTCGCGTAAGTAAGCGGCACCCCCCGAACGAGCGGAAGTCAAGCCCCCCCCCCCCTGGGTGTCGCACTTCCATCCCTTCTCTGTCCTTTCCCACTTGCGGCGCATTGCACCCCCGCCC